ACAAAAAACAAAAAACAAAAAACTCCACCAAGAGTAAAACAGAAAAAAGGAACAAAACTGATGGCATGACTGAAAAGGCCTGGGGTGGTACCTCACTTCAGGCATAGCTGGATACAGGCACTTATACAACATAAGTCTCTCTAATCTCTCAGTTGTTTCCCTTTGATTACTTCATTCTCATGCAGTTCTTTCCACATGGTGGCCTGAGCAGCTCCTAACTCACATCTGCCCAAGAAAGCGGAGGCTGTTCCCCGATAGTTCCAGCCAAAGTCCCAGGGCTGACTTTCACTGGACCCATTTGGGCCACATGCCTCTGCCTGAGCCAATCACCACATCCAGCTTGGCCAGACCTGGCTATGAAGCCCCTTCAGGAAGGCGCTGGGGTCATCCTCTCCAGAAGGACATGGGGAAAATGGGAAAGTGGAAGGAGGGATGCTTCCTTCTGAAAAATAGGGATGCAGTTACCACAAGAGGTATCGGGTACAGGGCTGGCACAAACAAGAGCTATCCATGGCACCATCATGTAGGCATGCAGCAAGTCCACCATGAAGCAACCTGGCTGCTCCGCAAAACAGAGTCACAGTTAATTCAGCCAGTGAGAAATATCCCTCTACCTGGGTTCCCACCATTCACCCCAGGCCTGGCAAGTCCCAGATTTGCTTGGTCAAGGGCAAGCAAATTACCTACCTTTTATGCTGCACAAAAAGCTGAAAAGATTATCTTACTTCTCTGGCTCAAGAACTTTCTATGACTCTGGCTACTTACATGGCTCTCCCACCCTTAATGATAGAAGCCAACATTCATGAATCCCTTACCACATGCCAGGTACTTTATGGACCTGCCTCCTCCAAACAGCATAGAAGAGGTTGGTACTCTTACTGCACCCATTTTACAAATATGGAAACAAAGGCTCAGCAATTTGAGGTAATCTACCCAAAGCCAAAGTTAGGAAGTGCAGAGTTCAGTTTAGCACAATATTGTTCTCGTCATTGCCATCCCAGCTCCATTTGTTAATGTTTCAAAGTCCTAAACCCACCTCCAGCTGGGGGGCCAGTGGGAACAGCTCCATAGCAGAAGCCTCTAGGAACCCCTTCAGCTTTGCAATGGTGGGAGTGGGGGTAGGTGCAAAAGATACTTAGCTTTCCCATCCTCTCCCATAACTTGTTTTTTTGTTTTTGTTTTTGTTTTTGTTTTTTTGAGATGGAGTCTCACTCTGTCCCCCAGGCTGGAGTGCAGTGGTGCAATCTCAGCTCACTGCAACATCTGCCCCTGGGTTCAAGCAATTCTCGTACCACTGCCTCTGGAGTAGTTGGGATTACAGGTGCCCACCACCACACCCAGCTACTTTCTGTATTTTTAGTAGAGATGGGGTTTTACTATGTTGGCCAGGCTAGCCTCAAACTCCTGACCTCAAGTGATCCACCCGCCTTAGCCTCCCAAAGTGCTAGGATTGCTGAGCCACCACACCTGGCCCCATCTCCCATAACTTGATGGGATAGGGAAAACAATTCCTCCAAGAGAATATTAGAGTGAGGTTAGGAGAGAAAGTAGGTGCTGGGTAGCCTTAAATCAGCAGCTGATTTCTCACATTGGTGAGTCAATTAGTTTTCTACAGCTGCTGTAACAAATTACCCCAAACCGATCGGCTTACAACAACACAGACTTAATATCTTATTGTTCTACAGGTCAGAAGCCTCAAATCAGTTTCACTTGACTAAAGTCAAGTTGTAAAGGACTGATTCCTTCAGCAGGTTCTGAAGGGAAAACCCATTTTCTTGCCTTTTCATGTTTTTAGTGGTTACCTATAATCCTTGGATTGTGGCCCTTTCCTCCATTTTTAAAGCACACCAGTCCAATCTCTGCACGGTGCTATGGTTTGAATGTGACCCCCCGAGTTCATGTGTTGGAAATTTGATCTCCAATGCAACAGTGTTGAGAGATGGGACCTTTAAGAGGTAATTAGGTCATGAAAAATCTGCCCTCATTAATAGAGTAATGGTGTTATCTCAGCAGAGGGTTAATTATCATGGAGGTGGGTTCCAAATAAAAGGATGAGTTCAACCCCCTTTCTCTCTTGATGTGATGCCTTCCATCATGGGATGACACAGCAAGAAGACCCTCACCAGAAGCGGGCCCCTCGATCTTGACCTTCCCAGCCTCCAGAACTGTAAGAAATAAACCTGTTCTTTATAACTTACCCTGTCTCAGATATTGCATAGCAATACAAAAAAGACTAAGACACTCAGTCATCATCACATTGCCATCTCCCCTGACTGCTGAGTCCCTCTTAAAAGAGCACTGTGGGCCAGACGTGGTGGCTTATGTCTGTAATCCCAGCACTTTGGGAGGCCGAGGCGGGCAGATCACAAGGTCAGGAGTTAGAGACCAGCCTGGCCAACATGGTGAAACTGCATCTTTACTAAAAATACAAAAATTAGCTGGGCATGGTGGCAAGCGCCTATAATCCCAGCTACTCGGGAGGCTGAGGCAGGAGAATCGCTTGAACCTTGGGAGGTGGAGGTTGCAGTGAGCTGAGATTGCACCATTGCACTCCAGCCTGGGCAACAAGAGCAAAAAACTCCATCTCAAAAAAAAAGAAAACGAAAACAAAAACAAAACACTGTGATGGGACACTGGACCCACAGGCAACATAGGATAAGCTCCAATCTCAAGATGCTTAATCACATCTGCAAAGTCCCTTTTGTCATGGAAAGGAACATATTCTTGGATTAAGATGAGGACACTTTGGAGGGGCCATTTTTCAGTCTACCATGGAAGATATCATGAGAGGGAGTTAATATAAAATGCTCTAGAAACAGAGAAGGGTGGCAGGGCATGGTGGCTCATGCCTGTGTCCAGCACTTTGGGAGGGAGGCGGGCAGATTGCCTGAGCCCAGGAGTTCTAGACCAGCCTGGCCAACATAGTGAAACCCCATCTCTACTAAAAATACAAAAATTAGCTGGGCATGGTGGTGAGCACCTGTAATCCCAGCTACTTGGGAGGCTGAGGCAGGAGAATCGCTTGAACCCAGGAGGCGGAGGTTGCAATGAACCGAGATCGCACCATTGCACTCCAGCCTGGGCAACAAGCGTGAGACTTCACCTCAAAAACAAAAAAAAAAGAAAAAAGAAAAGAAATGAAACGAAACAGAGAAAAGCCAGCTAACTCTACACGAGTGGGATAAATGTCCCAGGAAACCACAGCCTCCACATTAAATATTCAAATGAGCTAAAACCCATCTACTTGGCAATCTCAGCCTCATTCCTTTAAACATGCAAACCACCTAAATTCCCAAACCCCCTACACCAGGCCAGCCAAGTCTCAGAATGCTTAAATACCCTTTAATGGAAATTTCCAACCACCAACCTCATTTCCTAAGGAAACGGCTGTGCGCCCTTGACCCTGCCCTGACTGAATTGCCAGTGGCATTTGAACCATGGCACTCAATTCATGGCATGGCCAGCAAGCTACAAAGTGTCCTAGCATCAACCAAGCAAAGTTATAAAAGCAGTTTCAGTGGACAATAAGGAATGTTAGTTTTAGAGTCAAAAAAACCTGGGTTGGGTCCCAGCTCTGCCATTTAGCAGCTGTGTGACACTGGAAAAGTTGCCTTCCTCCTCTAACTTTGGTTTCCGCACCTGTGACATGACAGTGGCTGGAGGACCTCACTCATAGAATCACTGTGAGGACAAGAACAGCCAAAGGTAAGTCTTCGCACAGGGCCTCCCTGGTCACTGTTGGGTCAACATGACATAACCATATGCCTTATCTCCACTTCCAAAACCCAAACAGCTCTCAAAAACAAGTCATTGTAGCTCCTTTGGAAGAAAAGACTGATAAGAACCAATATGCAACTACCTATAATCTTTCTCTATCCCTCTTACTGTGAATATTTGCTGTGGAAATATTAACATGTTTGGTCTCCACTGGGGTAGGACTCCACATGTGTAGGACTCCACTGGGGTGCTACACATACACATAGCAGATATGCCTTTTCATCTTCCTAAAATTGGATCATTAAATTTCACAACTTATCTAGCCCAAAGGTTTCAGAGACTGTAGACCTGTATCTTTATGAGGGCAAGGATAAGAATATAAACTGGCCTGTTATTATGCACCAAGGTACCTGCTGTTCTCATGAAGATGTTGGCAGCCAGTCCGCCAGTCTCTGCAAACTCCACCCCCAACCTCATTATGTTCCTTTCCCTGGAACTTTCCAAGGGGTCCTTAGAATTTGTATTCGGCTCTCACAGGCTGAGACCACGGTGACATCCTGGGAAACCTGCCTAGTGATAGCCAAGGTGTAGTTCCAGATGAAAGGCACACAACAACTTTAAATATAAAAAAGCCAGCTGGGCGCAGTGGCTCAAGCCTGTAATCCCAGCACTTTGGGAGGCCGAGACAGACGGATCACGAGGTCAGGAGATCGAGACCATCCTGGCTAACACGGTGAAACCCCTAGTAAAAAATACAGAAAAAACTAGCTGGGCGAGGTGGTGGGCGCCTGTAGTCCCAGCTACTTGGGAGGCTGAAGCAGGAGAATGGCCTAAACCTGTGAGGCGGAGCTTGCAGTGAGCTGAGATCTGGCAACTGCACTCCAGCCTGGGCGACAGAGCGAGACTCCGTCTCAAAAAAAAAAAAAAGAAAAGCCATTCAGGCTAGGCGCAATGGCTCACGCGTGTAATCCCAGCACTTTAAGAGACCAAGGCAGGCGAATCACCTGAGGTCCAGAGTTCAAGACCCTGCTGGCCAACATGGCAAAACCTTGTCTCTACAAAAAATATAAAAATTAGCTGGGCATGGTGGTACATACATGTAATCCCAGCTACTTGGGAGGCTGAGGCACAAGAATCGCTTGAACCTGGGAAGCAGAGGTTGCAGTGAGCCAAGCTTGTACCACTGCACTTCAGGCTAGGCAACAGAGTGAGACTCTATCTCAAATAAATAAATAATAAAGCCATTCCACTAAAGAACCAATTATCAAGCAGAAGCACAAAGCCCAGGTTCCATCAGTTTTTTATTTGTACATCAGTGACTGTGAAAAAGCAATTATTCCCATAATTAAAATACAAATTATAAAAAACGGACTTAAAGAAAAGAAAGATGACAGAATGAAAGAAGGTACATTTCTTTCATGTTCAAACCACGGAGTTCACAATACAGCAGCACACACAGCCAGGCGCTTTGTGGTCTCGGCACCCTCAGCTTCTCCTTCATGGGGCCGCTTTCGACTAGTAGAAGGCTGAAAATAAATGGAGAAATGTTCAAAAGAAAATCACTGGCTTCTTTAAGATTATCAAAGTTCCCCAATACACTTCCAGTAAAGTGGGGGCATTTGATGTGAAATTCTAGTACCAAAAATTACTGGTTGTCATCATTGACAACTGAGTCCTCACCACAGCCCCGAACTCAGATATGCTTATCTAATAGATATTTCTCTCCCTTATGGTTTCTGACCTCTGAATGATGTATACTGAAAGCAAGTAGCATAACCAACTTCCTCTTGATTATCTTCTTCTAAATATCAAGTTTAAAAGGACTGTAATTCCTCTCAGTTGAAGCCTCAGGTCTTGCTGTTTTGCAGGAAGGCAATCTTTGTGCCTTAGTTGTTTTCCCGTATATAAAATTGGGAGGAAGGCTGGGTGCGGTGACTCATGCCTATAATCCCAGCACTTTGGGAGGCCGAGATGGGCAGATCGCTTCAGATCAAAAGTTAGAGACAACCCTGACCACCATGGCAAAACCCCATCTCACCTAAAAATACAAAAATTAGCTGGGTGCAGTGGCAGGCACCTGTAGTCCCAGCTACTCGGGAGACTGAGGCAGGACAATTGCTTGAACCCAGGAGGCAGAGGTTGCAGTGACCTGAGATTACACCACTGCACTCCAGCCTGAGTGACAGACCAAGACTTTGTCTCAAGAAAAAAAAAAAAATTGGGGACAGGAAATAGTGGGAAAAAGGAGAGCTACCACTCAACAACAACAACAACAAAAAAAACAGCAGGACTGGAATTAACTTATACTTACAAAGAACTTTAAAGAATAAAATTATAATCAAGGAATCAACTACTGATCCAAATTTTAATTTTTCCAACAAATTTATATTTGAGCCTCTAATAGACTCTTTCAAAACTGCCTTGCAGGTGACCTTTTGGATGACAATCCCTGGCTGTGCTTATCTGTCTATTATGTGTTAGATATTGAATGTATCCTGCATTTTTAAATCTAAGGGTGCTGGAGTGGATCAAGTTAAAACAGAGTTTTTACTACATTAAAACTGAAACAATGTTAAGCAATTGCTACTCAGGAAAATCTTCAAACACATCATCTTTGCTTATCAGCTCCTTAAGCCCAGACTACATTTAGTAATCATCAGGAATACAAATGCCTGGGCTAGAACCTGGGGTAGAGCTGTGGATTCATTTTCCTCAGACAGCAGATCTTGAAACTTTCTCTTCATGTCTTCATCCTGTGAGGGAATTAAAAATATAAGTAGCTGTGTCTGAAGGATAGAAAGCTCCTAGAAGGACAGGGCTAGCATGCCCCTGGAAAGAGGGAGGAAAAGATGTCCGTCCAAGAATCATCCCCTTGATGAAGATCCCACAGCGAAGGCATTATATGTTGCCCCCCTCTACCTTCCCAGAGGAGTCTAATTAGCAGTCAGTGCTCCACCAATCCTGGCTGACTCACATCCACATGCCTAAAAGCTCTCAGTGGGTCAATCACAGCCTCCAGCAGTCAAGAGTTTCTAAATTAGTATCCCAGATCCTGAGAAAGATGGCAATCAGGAGGCCAGAGGCTGGGCCTGACTCCATGCACCTCCTCAAATCCTTCTGGGACCACTCTCCACCTGCTGCCCCTGCCATGAATGAGGCCAGTCACCCAGGCTATCCTAACAACCAGTCCAGCACCCTAGGAAAATTCACCCAGCAGATACCATACAAATTGTCAGAAGTACTTGAGCCCACAATATCCCAGAGCTCAGGTCTAATGAGAAAGGGAGATAATAAACAGAACAAAGCATTACAGGTGTTTCATGCTGCAGGAGCGGGAGATGAGGAGGGCACAGACAGTGTGTATAAAAGTAGCTCCCACCTCTCTGGATGCTCACTTCTGCAGGGTTCAAGGATTTGCATTAGGAAACCCTGAGAGGTGGTCTGGTGCAGCTCTCCTCATCTTCACCAAGGTGAAAGGAACATCTATAACTAGGAGTGTGGCCTTTGAGTGCTGGCCAGAAGCCCAGTTCAGCCACTCACAGGTGGCATGTGCAGAATACAGACCCAGAGTTATCTGATTCCAATGCCTCATGTACTTTCCCACCCAACTCCAGCCCCACTGAGCCAAGCATACCACAGTGGGCAAAGGGAGAGGATACAGTAAAGTCCTCCACCATTTGGCAATTTGATGGATATGGAAATTTTACAACACTAGGTTGGGCATGGTGGCTCATGCCTATAATACCAGCACTTTGGGAGGCCAAGGTGGGAGAACTGCTTGAGGCCAGGAATTTGAGACCAGCCTGGGCAACATAGTGGGACTGTGTCACTACAAAAAAATTTTAAAATTAGGCCGGGCATGGAGGCTCCCACCTGTAATTCCAGCACTTTGGGAAGCCAAGGTGGGCGGATCACCTGAGGTCAGAAGTTTGAGATCAGCCTGGCTAACATGGTGAAATCCTGTCTCTACTAAAAATACAAAATTAGCCAGGCATGGTGGTGCACGCCTGTAATCCCAGCTACTCAGGAGGCTGAGGTAGGAGAATCGCTTGAACTCGACAGGCAGAGGTTGCAGTAAGCGGGGATCACACCACTGCACTCCAGCTTGGGTGACAGAGTGCGACTCTGTCTCAAAAAAAAAAAAAAAAAATTTAAAAATTAGCCAGACATGATGGCATACACCTATAGTCTCAGCTACTTGGGAGACTGGGGCAGGAGGATCACTTGAGCCTGAAAGTCATGGTGCAGTGATCATCCCACTGCACTCCAGCCTAGGTGAGACAGCAAGACCCTGAGGAAGGAAGAAAGGAAAGCAGCAAGGAAGGAAAAAAGGGAGCAGGGGAGGAAAGGGGGGAGGAAAGGGGGGAGGAAAGAGGGGAGGGGAGGGCAAGAGGAGGGAGGAGAAGGGAGGGGAGGGAAGGGGAAGGGGAAGGAAGGAGGAAGAAAGAAAGAAGGAAAGAAGGACCAGGCACAGTGGCTCACGCCTGTAATCCCAGCACTTTGGGAGGCCGAGGCAGGGCAGATCACTTGAAGTCACTCTGTTTTAAGTTTCTCAGTGTAGCTCCCCATTGCCACATGACAGCAGCAAGCTCATCTGGATTCCACTCCACACCCTCTCATGGCCTTACTTAGGGTCTCAGTTATCTTGCAGTGTCACTCTCAAAAGTCCATCTCTCAGCAGCCCTTCAGTGAAGCCAAACAGAGGGGTCACAAGCCTAATCGGGCCTATATTTAAACAAGTAAACAGGTCAGGCGCAGTGGCTCATGCCTGTAATCCCAGCACTTTGGGAGGCCAAGGTGGGTGGATCACCTGAGGTCAGGAGTTCGAGACCAGCCTGACTAACATGGTGAAACCCCATCTCTACTAAAAATACAAAAATGAGCTGGGCATGGTGGCAGGCACCTGTAATCCCAGCCACTTGGGAGGCTGATGCAAGAGAATCACTTGAACCTAGAGGCAGAGGTTCCAGTGAGCTGAGATCGCATCATTTCACTTCAGCCTGTTAGACAAAAGTGAGACTCCGTCTCAGAAAACGAAATAAATAAATAAATATTGATTTTCTTTAGGATGTCTACAATTATTCCCAAATATTAAATTAGCCAGGAACAGTGGCTCATGCCTATTATCCAAGCACTTTGTGAGGCTAAGGCGGGAGCATCCCTTAAGGCCAGGAGGTCGAGGTTGCAGTGAGCTATAATTGCACCAGTGCACTCCAGCTTAGGCAACAGAGGAAGACCTTGTCTCCAACAATAAATGAAATAAAGATTAAATTATAATATCCCTTAAAAGCAAACAGAAGAAATCCTCTATTTCAGGCAGTAAATACAAGGCAGAGAGTAGATATAAGGGATGCTCCCCAAACTGGGCACTCTGTTAATGACAAAACAGAGACCAGAATCCACATTCCCAACACTCAGTCCAGCGCCAGACCCACAAAACCATTTAGTTTTTTTTGAAAACACTGAATTTTCCCAAAATAAAACCCAAACTATCACTAACAGATGTTTTAGATGGTCAGTCTTCATCTTTGTCTTCATTCAATGCTCATTCCTCCTTTTACTGCAAAAACAAAAGGTGGATAAAAGAGTGTTCCCGGGAGACCCTGCAACAGAGTTGAACTTCACCTTCTCCTTGGTTGTTAATAAGTTTTCTTTGAGACAAAGAAGTACAAGAAAAATAGGCTATGCTTACTCATAAATTTCAGGCAGATGCAAACCCTGTTCCCAGGCTCAACTGGTCAGCTCTATTTTTTTGTTAGAGATGAACACAGCTCCTGTACCTCTACATTTAGACCCAAGAGTTTCCCTATTAGGACACATGAAAAGAGCCAAAAGACATGTTTCTCTTTTTCATCAAACTTAAAATCCCCACATGCAAAGGCACCCTTTGTTTCCAAACCCCTTTCCTCCAGGGTCCTGCTGTTTCAAATCTGTGTGGTCTATTAAATGCTAAATCATCTGACAGATTTCTTCTGGGGAGACTGTAGTTTCCAGGGCAACATCCAAAACACATATATCTGTCTTTCTTTTTTTTTTTAAGGATTTGTTGTTCTCAACCTGAGCTGGCCTGAGCAAAACTGTTAGGTGTAGAGGATTGGAACAGAGAATGGGGACAGTCTTCCCAGAGTCCCAGAAGTATGGGGCTGAGGCTGCATTGCCCAAGGAGTTCCTGGACCAGTAATCCGCAGAGAAACAGCATGTAGCTCAAGTAACAGCCTCTAGAGCTCAAGCTACCTGGTTCTGTCCCCCATCTCCACAGAAAACAGATCGATAAGGTTTGGCTTTGTGTCCCTACCCAAATCTCATCTCAAATTGTAATCCCCAGGTGTTGAGAGAGGGACCTGTTGAGAGGAGACTGGCACATGGGGGCGGTTTCCCCCAGGCTACTCTAGTGATAGTGAGTGAGTTCTCACAAGATCTGACAGTTTCATAAGAGGCTCTTCGCTCTTCACTTCCTTCACACACTGTCCCCTGCTGCCATTAAGACATGCCTTCTTCCTCTTCCACCATGATTGTAAGTTTCCTGAGGCCTCCCCAGCCACGTTGAACTGTGAGTCAATCAAACATCTTTTCTTTATAAATTACCCAGTCTCGGGCAGTTCTTTATCGCACCGTGAGAGCAGACTAATACACAGACCAAAAGAAAATTAATAGAAAGGGGCATGGCTGTGCTGAATGGAACTGCTCATAACAGAAGACCAGACATCTATCAGAAAAACTTGCCCAATGCCATAGCTAATTCCAAAACTAAAGATTAACCCAGCAAAGCCACAACGTACTTCCAACTCTTGGCAGTTCCAAATGAGGTCAGCATTTAATAATGGCAGCCCCAACCCCTAGCAGGAACACAGCAGTAATACAGATGAAAGGTGCAGGTGATAGCCTTCACTAAGGACACGTTTACTCACCTGAATGAACAAGCAGTAGGACCCTTTGTACCCAGTCACTTGGGCTTGAGAAGCAGCTGGATTCTCCCTAGGGAGGCTGCCCTCCTCCCCTCCCGCAGCTTCCCTGATTTAAGGTTGAAGATGGCTAGAATGCACCCCACCTATGAGGAACGGTGGACATGGCTGGGGCTAGAGCCAGAACAAGCCCTCAAAGGAACACAGGCCAAACTGGAGACTCGGGGCAGTCAAGTGGAACCAGAACAGGACAGAAAGTGAGTTTGTACATCCAACAGCCATGAGTAACATCAAAAAGGTTCTAGCCTGGCCAACACAGTGAAACCCCATCTCTACAAAAAATACAAAAATTAGCTGGGCATAGTGGCATGCACCTGTAATCCCAGCTACTCGGGGGGCTGAGGCAGAAGAATCGCTTGAACCCGAGGGACAGAGGTTGCAGTGAGCTGAGATCGCGCCACTGCACTCTAGCCTGGGTGACAGAACGAGAACCTGTCTCAAAAAAAAAAAAAAAAAAAAACACGGTTGTAACCCATCCTCTAAGATATCCGCCATATATCTAAAACAATTAGATTAAGCAGACTTAACAAAGTAAACATGTTTCTGTCCTCTGCCTCATGTCTCTTAGGCAGCAGAGTTTCCCATGTATTTTATGCTAGCAGGCACTATCCCACACCCACCTGAAGCCACGGGTGTCTTAAGGCTTCTTCTGTCGTAAAACGTGCCTTTGGATCCACTACCAACAACTTCTTGACAAGGTCCAGAGCTAAAGCAACAATTGGGCAAATCACAGTGAAAAGGATAAATATATTAAATCGTAATAGTATGCCAGAATTAACAGGCCACCATCCAGAAAGAGCAGAGAGGGTCTGAGATCATCACAGAGTCAGCAGACAGGGCCCCCTAATCTTCCTCACTCTCTGTATTCAGAGTACTATGAGAAGACCAGGAATGATAATGACACTCCCTGTCTCCTGCTGCTGGGATGTCAGTCACGACCTCTTCGCTGCCTGTTCCCTCTCTTGTTGCCTGTTGACTCAAGGTCAAACTAATTAAAGCTAAACTTCCACCCAATTCTAAGATACTTGGGATACGTAGCAAACTCTCCCTGACATCTACAGATGGATGGGTGAGAGTTACTCAGCTAGGGAGAGGCTTCCTGGAACTGCAGACTTGTCAGAAATAAAACTTGACTACTCCAGCAAGCAACAAATGCACGCTGGCTTGTATATTACAACACTATTATTCCTTAAATATTCTGACATTTAACACAATCGCCTATGTTATATTATTTGACATTTAATTTTCTACTTTCTCTTTGGGGAACTAAAGTTGCCAGGATAAATTATAAAATACAAGGTAACTAATGACATCTAGTTTTTACATGCTTGCTTACTCAAAGGAAACCCTGTAACTAAAAAGTTACAAGTGCACTTTTTTTGGGCACTAAAATAGGTACCAGGCACTTGTGTACATTATACTTAACCCTTACAAAAACCTTTTAAGGTAGGGATTATTGAGGGTCCCTTTACACAGAAAGAAATTGGAGACAGAGGTTAAATAACTTGCCTAAGGCCACACAGCTAAGTAGTAGCAGACCCAGGACCTGAGTGCACACTCTTAATAATTTCCAGTGCCTCTCAAATGGTGTGAAACTAACAACAGAAAATAAGAACAGAATTGACAGGAGAAAACACCATGGAATTTGGAAAGAAACTCCCACCACAGCACATACACATTTTAGCATACCACAAATTCTTAACCCTTTCGTATTCATACCCTTCTCTGAGACCTCTGCCCAGACTTCAGGAATGAAGTTGTATTTTCCACTGGTGATCTGATCCTTCAGTGACACTTGAGTCCTATGCTCAGAGAAAGGTGGATACCCACTAAGGCTTAATATTGGTAGAGAGAGAAAGGAAAAGAAATCAAGTGGCATTCTCAGTGGCATTCAGATATGAAGATTTATTTCTCAGCATAATGAAAAGTCAAGATTTTTCTTTATATCAATGGTCAAAAAGTGAGCTAGGCTGGGCACAATGGCTCATGCTTGTAATCCCAGCACTTTGGGAGGCTGAGGCAGGAGGATCACTTGAGCCCAGGAGTTCGAGACCAGCCTGGGCAACATGGCAAAACTCCATCACTACAAAAAATAGAAAAATTAGCTGGGCATGGTGGTGTGCGCCTGTAGTCCCAGCTAGTCAGGAGGCTGAGGTGGGAGGATCACTTGACCCTGGAGGCAGAGGCTACAGTTAGCCAAGATCAAGCCACTGCATGCTAGCCTGGACAACACAGCAAGACACATTTGTGACTTCATTTAATCACCTCCTACCAGTCTGTGAAGCAATGAAAATGTTTCTTACCAGATAAAAAGAATAACTCCTAAACTCCAGCAGTCCACAGCACGGTTATATCCAGCAGTCCCAACAGAAACAAGAACTTCAGGAGCCAAGTAGGTGGGGGTTCCACATAAGGTTCTCATGAGAGAGGTCTCCCCCAAAATTTTGGAGTGCCCAAAATCAGTAATCTAAAATTCAGTACAAAAGGGGATAATGTTGAACTATGTCATAAATAAAAAGATTAACATAGTCTGCCAGTCCAAGAAGACATGTAGGCTAGATCAGTTTCTATTGTACAATTCACACCTGCCATTAATCTGGAATCTACAGATTCATGTCTTTGCAAGTTAAGACATTTAATTTTGCTTAAATTAAAATTCCTGAGCCTAGGAATATCAACACTCAGGCTTTCCAACTTAACCTATGTCCCCTGTAATCTTACAAAAAGCTTATTGCCATTATCACAGACACTTCAGGATTCTAATTAGTTCTATGTGGTTCTTAGGCCCCAGTGTCTCAAACTTGGCTGCACTATGGAATACCTGGGGAGCTTGGAAACACATGCTTATAACTGAGTGCCACTCTCAGCTTCTGAGGTAAAGCCTGGATGTCATAAATCCTAACAAGAGATTCTAAAGTGATGCCAGGCTTGAGAAACACGGAAAGGCAGGGCACGTGATTACTCATTAATTCATTCATTCATTCATTCATTCACCTATTCTGAGATGATATCTCGACCTTTTGCACAGGCTGGAGGACAGTGGTGTGACCTTAGCTCACTGCAACCTCTGCCTCCTGGGTTCAAGTGATTCTCGTGCCTCAGCCTCCCAAGTAGCTGGGATTACAGGTACCCACCACCATGCCCAGCTAAATTTTTGTATTTTTAGTAGAGATGGGGTTTTGCCATGTTGGCCAGGCTGGTCTCAAACTCCTGACCTCAGGTGATCTGCCTGCCTCGGCCTCCCAAAGTGCTGGGATTACAGGTGTGAGCCACCGTGCCCAGCCCACTAGTCCATTTAGACCCCTCCTCTCTCTCTCTCAGCACAAAGGTCACTTGCACACAACAGAGCTCAATAAATGCTCATTCAAATCTGGATAAGAGCAATGTCACCTGATCTCTAAAATAATTGGTAAGAGGTCAGACTCTCAACCTTTTAACACTCCCACTTTTTATTTGAGGAATTAAAAGTTTCTGAACAAGAATCTACAGGAATAGCCACATACAGAATGCCAATTTCTTACCTTTATAAGACAGTCCTCTTCTTGAGATGACAGTAAAACATTCTCTGGCTTTAAGTCACGGTGTATAATACCGTTTTCATGAAGGTACTACACAGAAAGGCAGGCATGACCCTCAGATTCATGCAGTAGATAAGTAGAATCAAAGTTACCAACACACACATCTCACAGCTGGGTGAAACCGTAAGCCGTGATACACACAATCATATTGTCCAAAATCATAGAAAACTGTTGGGGTAAAGTTTACAAATTTGTTTGAGAAGATCTTTAAAAAGCAGGGAAATGAAAAAAGCAACTTAGAACAATCAACCTTTCATTTCACTTTAAGATAATAAACAACCCTTCACATGGCAGAAATGTAAGGTGTCAATTTCAATACAAATACAAATGAGTAATAGAAAATGTTTTGCGAACATACCAAATAAACACAAAAATTCAACCAAAATGATATATTTGGTTATTGCAGTCCTGGGAATATTTTTAAAGGGAATCTATACAAATATATATTTGTAAATTATCTGTTTATGTGAGTTAACCTATTCCTCAATGCAAAGACTTTATCTTTGAAAACTCTATTGTCTGAAATAGCATATAAAAATGAACAAACACCAACATACTATGCCACATTTCTTTTCTTTTCTCTCTTTTTTTTTTCTTTTCTTGAAACAAGGTCTCACTCTGTCCCCCAGGCTGAAGTGCAGTGGTACCATCTTAGCTCACTACAGCCTCAACCTCCTCGGCTCAAGTGATCCTCCCACCTCAGCCTCGTCAGTAGCTAGGACCATAGGCACAATGCATGCCACTTCAACCAGCTAATTTCTTTATTTTTTTGTAGAGATGGGGGTCTCACAATGTTGCCCAAGCTGGTCTGGAACTCTTGGGCTCAAGTGACCTACCAACCTCAGCCTCCCAAAGTGCTGGGATTACAGGCATCAGCCACCATGCCTGGCCATTTTTTTTAGGAAACAAAATTTTCACATATCCACAAACTGTACTCAATTCATGTTAATATTCTTGGCTACTTAATATAAATAAATGGAATAAACCAATAAGGGAGCAATACACTGAGTAGGTGACAGCTACTATTAAAAATGCTTGCGTTGTACCCCATAACATGTACACCTACTATGTGCCCACAAAAATTAAAATTAAATTTTTTTTAAAAAGGCTTGTGGGCAGGCACGGTGGCTCATGCCTGTAATCCCAGCACTTTGGGAGCTCAAGGCAGGCGGATCGTTTGAGGTCAGGAGTTTCAAACCAGCCTGGCCAACATGGTGAAACCCCATCTCTACTAAAAATACAAAAAAAAAAAAAAAAAAATTAGCCAGGTGTGGTGGCAGGCACCTGTAATCCCAGCTACTGGGTAGGCTAAGGCAGGAGAATTGCCTGAACCCAGGAGATGGAGGTTATAGTGAGCCGAGATCGTGCCACTGCACTCCAGCCTGGGAGACTCAGCCTGGGAGACAGAGCGAGACACCGTCTCAAAAAATAAATAAATAAATAAAATAAAACAAAAATAAATTTAAAAGGCTTGTGTTTAGGGGTTTCAGTCTTCTCTAGATGTCCCTCTGGGCTAGAACAAACATTTTCTGCAAAACCTTCACCGGGAAATGGATCTGGTGAAACCTCCAGGGAGGGCAAACCTACGTAGACCAATCACAAAAAAATTTCTCTTGGGCCAGGCACAGTGGCTCATGCCTGTAATCCCAGCACTTGGGGAGGCCGAGGTAGGTGGATCACCTGAGGTCAGAAGTTCGAGACCAGCCTGATCAACATGGAGAAACCCCGTCTCTAAGAAAAATACAAAAAAATTAGCCGGGCACGGTGGCGCATGCTTGTAATCCCAGCCACTCGGGAGGCTAAGGCAGGAAAATCGCTTGAACCCGGGAGGTGGAGGTTGCAGTGAGCCAAGATCGCACCACTGCACTCCAGCCTGGGCAACAAGAGCAAAACTTGGTCTCAAAAAAAAAAAAAAAAAAATTTCTCTTGATCCTCACTCTGTACAAGGATTGCTCCCAGTCACTGCATTTCCTGCATGGAGTGGGTTTTCAAGAAGAGACTGTGGAAGGGATTGGCCACAACCACATTTGGTCTGGGAAATGGTGATGTTCCTCAAAGCAAGTGCCACCAGCTATTTTTTCATCTAACACTCACTGAATAGAGACGGCTATGTGCGTGCCCTGCCGGCCAGCCCACTGCCGTGAACAGGATGCTGCACCTGAAGGGAAACACCTAGTTCTGAGCCATGGGGGACCAACCCATGTCACAATCATCACAACTTGCAGCTTTGCCCTCAAACCTGCCCAGCTCCCACTCTGAGTTAAGAGAGACTTCTACAAGGATCAAGGAGAACTAATGAACCTAATGATCAAGACCCCTCCAGAAATACCTCCAAGCTAAAGTTAGGCAACATAGGACCATGCTATCTCTTTTTTTAAAGACAGAGTCTCACTCTGTCTCCTAGGCTGGAGTGCAGTGGCATGACTGTGGCTCACTGCAGCCTCAACCTCCCAGGCTCAAGTCATCCTCCCACCTTAGCCTCCAGAGTGGCTAGGACCACAGTTGCCCGCCAGCATGACTGGCTATTTTTATTTTTTGTAGAGATGAGGGCCCCACTATATTGCCCAGGCTGGACTTAACCTCTTGGGCTCAAGTGATCCTCCTGCCTCAGCCTCTCAAAGTGCTGGGATTACAGGCATGAGCCACTGTGCCTGGCCTATTTATTTCTTTAATTCCCTTTCTTACTTTCTCTTGAGTTACACAGTGAGAGTTTTTTCCTTTTTTTTTTTTTTTTT